AGGCAGGAGGGTAGTGAGTAATCACATGGAGTTTTTTGTGGATAAGAAAAGCTAATAGCTTAGCAGATAAATTATTTAAATACTATGTATTTTTCACTGTTTTATCTTTATAGGGACAATTGAAATGCATAGAAAAAGAATGACTGAAAAATTTACCTTCTACGCCATTTTCCTTTCCTTGGTTGTCCTGGGGTTTCTGACTGGAGAGAAGTAGACCCATGAGATGATCCCTTTTCATTTGCTTCTGAAACCCTACAGGTTACAGCTGCTGTAAGAAGCAGCAGATTACACACTGGGGTCAGTAGGGACCACACCATGGGCAAGGGGGTTCTTTGCCTTATGCTTGGCTTTGTGGACTTCATTGTAATGTGGTAATCCATAGCATAGTAAGTGTAATTTTGCTATCTTCTAAGTTTCTGACTAGATAAAGTGTAGTTCCATTCCTCACTGAATGCTAAAGGTATCTAGTCTTGTAAAAGATAGCAAGCATAGCGAAACTGAAGGCTCTGTTTCAATTTAAGTAGGAGCTGAAGGGAAACTTTCACCTGTTCCCCTAGGTACAGTTGATGAGTGTTGACTGAAAGAGAATGGAAACTTTACATAATTCATCATCTGTATTTTTTTCCATATTACTTTAGTGCCAGGTCTTATAAGGCTGTATGCATAGAAACCACATATTTTAATTAAAAGGTCTTATCTGATCTTTTTTATTCACTCAAGATCCATCCAACCTTTACCATTTTACTGATTTTGAGGATTTTGTAAAATGGCTGTTTTCATTGACATCACTCTTTGAAGTGACTACAGGGGTTTTTTGGCATACATTTTCTCTCTTGCTAACCAAAATGTATTGGGCTGTGCAAATTACTTATAATTACAGAAATTACCCAAAAAAAAAAGTCTCATTTTGACCTCTCTCTACTATGCATTCTTAAAGAGGAATCTTATGTACATGATGACCATTTTCTACTGCCACAAAAGAAATACTTCGGAAGTAGTGAAATATGGCCCAGGCATTGGATCTGTATTGGAGACTCATAGAAAGGGACTTGAGAAGTAATGAAAAAGTAACTTGAAATAAAAAAAAAAAGGCTAAGTAAAATCATAGGTTGCCTTACCACTATGATTGTGAAAGTGTGTGAAACATTACATTTTATTTATTAGTTAGGAGGAGAAGGGAAGGAAGAAAAAGGAGGCTAACATCAATAATCTACCTTCATTTAGGAAAACTCAGAAAAGAAGATAAAGTGGACTGCTCCAAAAAGCCTGGCTCAAGCTTCTTGATAGTGCTACAAAGCTACTGTTAAGTTCCCTCAAAGCCTCTGCTTCTCCAGACCACTTCCCTCAGCTTCTTATTTTCTTTCCTATAACAACAGAATTCATATATTGAACTAATGCTAAAATGACAAATCTTCTTTTCCTTTTAGAATTAGTTTAAAGATACAAATCTCTCAACTGCTTGGAGCCCACTGATTTTACCAACTGCCAGTCTGACTCTGAGACGACTTCATAGAGACTGAAAAAGCTAGGGTAAAAACTGAGGGCCCGCCCATCATGTAGCAATTTCTGTGTAGCACCAATTTTCTTTCCTTCCTCACCAACCTACATGGCCTCATTTATTCTGTTGTGATTACATACTAATTCTTTTACAGTTTTAATTGGGTGATGGAAAAAAATATTATTTGATTCACTACAATGGTAATAATAATAATGGATGAAACAACAGTTAACTCCAGTAGCAAGATGCTACTCCAGGTCTCCATCTGTTAACAGGAATCTGGGGAACGCCACACAAGGAAAGGAGGTCCTTGCTGTGCTAGGTTATGATTTGTATAACTTTCCTCACAACTACATGAAAAGGAAATGCCACTTTTGTCTTCAATTATAGCTCTTCATAACAGAAGAAGATGCAGAAGTTTTCCGAGACCGTCTGGTTGTAGTATTCAGGAACTTAAAGCTGATCCTGTTGCGAGCAGGAGGTTGGACTAGAGACCTCCTGTGTTTCTCTCTAGCCTGAATTATCCTATGATTATGTGATGTTCACTCTCCTGAATTAAAAATAAAGGTTTTGTGCATAACTGTATTGTGATTATCTGTTTTTTAAATTGTATTTACCAATCAAATTTGAATCATGAAACAACAAAAATTCCATTAAAGCATTGTCTTGGTGGCTTCTCTAATTCCATCACCTAATTTTTTCCTGTGGCCTCACAGTAGAATTTGACTGGAGAGTTCTATAAAATTCAGTAATACTTCCTGTTTTCTACATAGATTTTTTTTTTTAAATCTGTGTTGGAATTGTCTGTATCTATCTTGATCTCTTTATTGGTCATTATGTAATAATACATATGAGAAAGTGTATGTGAGAGAGTCTTTTATGATTTCATCATCCTTCAAATAATTTTTATCATTTTGTTTCAAGTTATCATCGTTAGGTATGAAAAAGTGAAACCACAGCTCTTATACAGACACATAAAATTTTGTTTCTGTCGTGGGTAGTTGGTGAGCAGTCAGCTGTATTCCTTGAAGAATGCTTGGTCTGTGTCTTACATTTGAGAGATGTCTTCTAGGCATTATTATATTTTTAATGTGCTAATGGTTACAGACTGAGTTTTGGGGTGATCTGTTTCACACTTTTTCATGATGTTATTCTTTTGCTTCAAATAAAAAGTTATTGATGATCAGTTTCTTCAGATAAATTTTTAATACAAAAATTATTTCCAATCATCAATTCTGCCTATTTTGAAAAGGAATTTAATGTAGTCTGTGCCATTGGTGTCATCAAGAATAGGATTAAGAAGCAAGATTTAATTCACTTAGATGTAACAGAAGAAGTCAGAAATAGCTTTAGCAGTTAAATTACTTGTGGAAGAATTGTTTGTTTATGTCCCTAATATTCCTGTGGTATATTTTTGAATGATAGATCATTTAAGCTGACTCGCACATCTGAAAGGCTAACATTTTACCAATATTCAGTTACCTTATTCCATATACTTGTTAGTGTAAGAGGCAGTTTAACTGAAAAATGAATCCTAATAAAATGCCTTTTTAGTAATTCATTTTGAAAACCATTTGACCTTAACTACAATGAAAGTAGACTGTAAAAATCATCATAGATTCCCTTCCTTGAACTTCTCATAATGCTGAAAAATGACTGAGGGAAAGGAGAAAGATCCAGTTACTGTACCCTGTTTGAACAGCTGTACTTCATTGAGTGGAGGCTTGTGTTACACACAGTTTGTGATAGGAAGTAAATGCTTTTAAAACAACTAAGGAGACAGGTCTTTAACCTCCACCTTTTCAGATGCTTTGTTCACTCATTTAGCTTCTGTTGAAGTTTGGGGAAACATTTCAAATACAAATTATTATTGAATACTGAAGCTCACCTGAATGATTAATTTCCTAATGAACTTATTAGGCAGAAATGCAGTGAGATGATGTTGGAGTTTTTTTTGGAGAGGTATCATTAATTCTTGATGTAGTGAACACTTCTTCCTTCAGGAACAAATACATTTAAAGAAGAAAGAATTCTCAGATTCAGTGTTAAGTGTTTTGTGATAGTTGAAATTACAGGTTTATTTCAGCAATTGTAAGTATTTTCAAGGACTTAGAGGACATTCAAAAATGTTTTCATGTAAATTACTATTTTGTCAAAATTATTTAGATTTAAAATTCTCAGTTTCTAGTGCACAAGACTGTTACCTCCTGTGACAAGACTATCTAGTCCCCTGAAATGGTGAAGGTACCTTGAGATTCATCAAGTGGACTTTTTGGCAGTACTTTACATTGCAAGTGCATGTTAATCGCCAGACCTAAACTATTTGATGTAAACTTGGCACCAGACAATTTCAGGACTTTTAAATACACATTACAAGATCGTTCTGTGAGTGTGATTCTAATATCCTCCAAAGGCACTTCTCTAATGGCTCTGGTGAAACAAGTCAGTGGCAATGGGAGTGTCCAGCTGGCAGACAGCCAGTCCACTTGTAATTTCTGTAATCAAGCTTTGTGTATACTTCATCCCTTGAAATACATGAGATCTTAAAGGTAGGTTTATGCTAAATAGACACTATTTGGGCTGCATTGACCACACATCTCTTTCTCTTTTCTTATGATTAAGGTACACATCTGATGGCCATGAATATTTTTGTCCTAACGTCTGTCTGTCTTGCCAGTTCAGACTGTCCAGATATCACTATACTTACACTATACAGTGCAGAGGGGCCAACCAGATCTGCACTTAAATGAGAAAATGCCTTGAAATATAATCAGGATTTTGAAGTATTCTTCACTTCAGTGCATTAGAGATGTCATGCCTTCAGAGGACAGGGCTAACACTGGTTTTGCCCTTATTCTAGCAATCTTTTTTTAACTGTAACAATAGAACCACTTCTCTCCTTTGGCTGGGTCAAGGGTTCCCAGCACCATCTGCTTGTTTTTCCATCTGTCACTAGTGTTTTGTGGTCTGTGGTACAAGTGGGTTGAAGATTCATGCATTCCAGAAAAATGTCAGCATAAAAGCTGACACCAGTTAATTTGTTTAAATTTGATGCAGAAGATTTTTAGAACATTTTGTGTCCCCTTCTAGTCTTGAAATATAACAAATGTGGTCATGAGAGCATCCTCAGTCCTTGTCTCTCTGAATCCCATAACACAGCTCCTATTGATTCATGTTATCAGGACTCAGCTCAGGCTTTCTTGCTATTTAATTCTCATCTCACACATCCTTCTGCCTTGCCTGCAATGATTTTAGTTCCTGCCACAGCCTCGCCTTCCTCAGCATGAAATTCACACTGACTTGTGTCCACTGACAGACAAGTAACCCAGCCTACCCAAACTCAACTTTGAGCATTAGGTTTTATTATCTGCTATAATATGGCAAAATAGCAAAGTGTAAATTAGGGGCTTAGTTGCTTTTAGCTTAAGAAAACAGGCCTCGGGAAACAAATGTTGCTTTTTTTCTCTAGTACAAACCTCATTAGAAATTATTTGTTTTGCAGAGGTTAATATAATATGGGCTGCGCACCAAGTACACCATAGTTCTGAAGATTACAACTTATTCACAGCCTTGAGACAATCTGTACTGCAGAAATACACCTCCTGGGTAAGTTGCAGAATATTTGTCAAACAGTATCAACAATATTTAGTAAAGGTGAAAGCATAGTGTTTATTTTCCTTCAAAGAAAAATATAATTTAAAGATGTTTGACAATCAAAGCACAGAAGATGAAACTGAAGAATCTGAGAATCATAAGCTTTAAAATATATCCACTAATGTTTGTACAAAAAACCTTGAAAACTTCTACAGTACTTAAGTTAAAGAAGGCTAATTATATAAACCTGCATTTATATTTTCATAACTTTATGAGTAGAATGGGGAATTTTTTTCATTCAGTTATTCGTGTATAAGTACAGGAAAAGAACAGAGTATAATGTAACTACTTGAGAATATGTCTGTATAACTGAAAGAATCAGGGAGAGAAATAATTGTTAAAAATTGATCTGGACATGCAAATGTATTTATTTGTCCCTGCTCATTCATGTTGTGTCAGTACTCTAGTATTTAAGGACAGTGCGTCACTACTTTTACCTAGTGTTATTTCAGATATAACGTATTTGAAATGGTGAGCTGTGTACACATGCAATTTAAATTGAGTATTCATTTACAGATTTAAAAATGTGTATTTCCAAATGCATTCATAAATGTAACATAATATTTAGGGTTTAGTTCTGGGCCCAGGATAACTGCTGATTTCCTCAATTGCGCTCTCATGTTCTCTTTTGACTGTATTTTTATCGGATTGTATTTTGTCTGGTTGTTGTTTGTTATTTTAAAAGAATAACTTCAAAGTTTGAATTTTCAGAATTAGCATTCAAAAGGAATATTGTATTTTGCATATATAAATATATACCTATAATTATATATTTACATGTATATACTCTCCAATGAGGCATAATATGGGTGGTGAAGGAAACCCACAGTCCTCTGGCAATCTCTGCATCCAGCATGTGAGCAAATGACTCAAAGTCAAGGATGTGTGCTCACACATGTAAATCCAGTATAACTCCTTTAACTTCAGTAAAGTTAGTCTGGATTTATGCTTACATAACTGAACATGGACTTAGCCTGTTTTGGTAACTGTTTTCAGTGCATATCATTAAATTAGTTAAAAGTACTAGGTTACAAGAAAATGGCTAGTTCTTCTGAAAATCATGAAGCAGGACTATTTTTTAGATTTGTTTCTTAAAGTCTTCTATATAAATCCTTGTTGTTTATTTATTTAGTAAATAATCATCTGATGTTAGTAAGAGTACCTAAAATTTAAATTACTGTAATGAACAAGAGTGGAAGGGATGCATCTTTGTGACAACTCGGCTTCCTCTTTAAATACTGCTATGTTAAAGATTTAACCTTTGGCCATTTACCATTTGGGACCATATGTGCAAATACTTAACAAAAACAGTAATTCAAAAAGAGTCAAAAAGCCTGTGTGTACATATGGATGGGTGCATGAGCACTTTGTCTGCCTGCATGATTTTGAGGATGATAGCTCAGAAAGCATAAAATATTCAGGAACACCAAGATGTCTGGCCACCTTAGATTCCAAAGACCATCCTCAGGACCACACCGGTGGCACTTGGCAAATAGTATATGTGCACTGAAAACTCATTTGCTTTGTACTACGGAAATAAGCCTAGGAATACATTGTACTTTTGTGTGCAATGTTTTTTTCACCAAATATTTGATATTAGCCAAAACATGTGGTTAGTGTAAATACTGTTTTTCCTCCTCCCAGAACTTTTGAGACATATGCCAGTTTTCTTCCTGCAAAACCTTACTGCGCATGATCACAGTTCTTACTAATTCTTACCAAACTGCTATTTTTGGATTGCCAGACTTGTCCAATACCGTGGATGGATCTGCCTTGAAGCTGAAACTCAGCAAAGCCTTTAGTTACTCTCTGAGAGTGATCTAGTTGTTGAACATGTATTGTACTGTGTTGTTGAATGCCGTTTGACATTCAGTTTTGTGGAGGCTGTGAGAAAGTTGTGGTGGAGGGTGTGGGATTGTAGGACTGTTCTGCTGCCAGCTCTGTAGTGTTTTAAGTTAAACACTGTAAGATAAATAAATCAGCATATTAATCTATGTGAATTGTGCTCAAACTGATAGAAAAGATGTGAAGTGAAAGAGAATTGCAAAATGTGCTTGACAATCAGTGGTGTGAGATGTACTCCTGAATTTGGAACCAAATGTGCAGTGCTTCATGTCGTTTGCATACACAGTGTTTCTGTTTCTCCAGTGGAGGGGCTATAGAGAAGCAAATCTACTGTGACGATTAAAAGATTATGTTGAAGCCCATTTTGTGGGAAAAAGACATAGAAAAAATATATATTAATTTTTAAGAAGAAAATAGCAAGTTAATGCAAGATAATACTATATAAATGAATATATAAATGATGAAACAGTCAAAGTGCAGTTGTGAAAGGAGAGATTTGCACATGCACCTTGAAAAGCTCTAATTTAATGCTTTGAGTACCAGTTCTCAACTTTCCTCCAAGGGTAAGATTTAATTGCAAATATTAGACCCATAATAATTTGATAGCTTTAGACTATACATTTAGATAAAGGGTTGAATAATGCCTTGGTATAAAAGCAGGGGAAACATCTATATATAAATCTGGAAAGGGAAGAGAGAACGCAGTTCTTTTCAGCAGTCAGAAGTTCACTTGTCTACTGAGGAGTCTGTCAGGACTGCAAGGGATGTGGGGTTTTTTTATCCTTGCCTTTAACTCCTGCAGCTTCCTCACACAAGTTCATGCCCACACAAACTAGTTCTCGGCAGCCGTCCTGCAGCCCCCCACACCCTGCAGACCCTCCACGGCTGCATCGGCAGGTGGCCCCAGAAACCCAGCGTGGAAATGGAGGGGCTTGGCGCAGGAAACTCAGTGATCCTGCTAAACCTCAGGAGTTTCAATTCTTTCCCTTTCTGTAGTGGAAACGTTTATAAGCTTTTACTTACAAATGAAAGGGAGAAAGGTAGAGATGCCCCACTGGAGAGTGTGCAGTGGACATTCACTCTTCAAAAGGGGCAATGCCTTTGGCGTGGAGGCAGAGCTGCAGTGCGGCAGCCTCATATGAAAAATTCCTCTCCACTCCCTCACTGGGTGCCTTTCCCGTCAACTATTGTGGCACTTTCTCAATGTCTGCTGCTGAATCCACAAGTTGGAAAAGATCTGTGAGTGTAATAAATGTTTTTCTGCAGTTTTGACCCAAAATTCCATCTTGGAGCCAGGAAAACTTTTCCTCTACAGATTAGTGAAAGTTGGTATATTCTCATGAAATGTTTTGATTTGGTGAATTGGCATTTCCAGGGAAAAACTATTTAATTATTTCGTTTTTTTCTGACATTGATCTCGTTTCAGTAGAACCACAAATAGTAGAAACGAATCTTTGTATGGTTGTCATTCCTCCCTAAGGGTTCCACTTCTGTAAATGATCTTTGTAATCCTTTCTGTGCAAAATAAAGCTTACATTGCAAGGAAATGTGAGGCAGTTAGGAAAGCATACTCCTTTGTCAATCTCAAATTTACCTGTAGATTTACGTAAAATTTCCTTCATCTCATGATTTAGCAGGGAAATTCTAGTGAAAAGCAGGTTAGAAAATAAATATGAAGATGATCCTTCCTTCTCCTCTGAATCATCTGCAAGTACCACCAAATTACCTCTGATATTTTTAGGGAAAAAGTGCATAGTTTTTTAACCCTGCTTTCAATCCTGCAACCACTTCCATGAATTATCTGAAAACCATCTGGGGTTTTTTTGTGTGTGTGTTTTTTTTTTTCTTTTTTTAATCAATGTCCTCTCCATTCCTTAAAAAAAAATTCCTGCTGTTATCATGCCATTACATTGGTACAATCAATAATAGGAGAAAACTGAAGTAGCTGTACTAAAATGTGGCTGTGTGTCCTGTTGTATTGTCTTCTATGTAAGATAACCTTTGAGAAAAAACATGCCAACCCTCTGCTTGTTGTGGGACAAATAACTCTCAGTGGTTTTTTTTTTTTGGTATCGTTTAGCAATTAATGTCCAGGTTAGAGGAAGGAGGAAGAAGGAACTCAGAAAAGAGATTGACTTCATACCAGTGTTTAGAGCATTTCTTCTGAAGTATTGGGAAGCTTGCACTGCATTTCTGTTTAAGAGCATGGAGATTTGTGGATTTTAAAGTCACTCTTCTGTTTAGTAGTCTTCTGCACAAGCCAGTCTGAGCTGTGTTTTTTAATTCTTATATACGTCTTATGCTGACCTCTACTCCAGAATTTCATGCCTAAATGCCTCCCCCCCCATGGCATTTACCAGCTCCCACCCTAGATAAGAGTTGCTGTGGGTTTTTTTGTGAGTTTACTTAGGCTGAGTGATTCTTATGGATTGAATGCCTAAATTTCATCTTCCAAGTATATTTTGCTTCCTTTTTTGTTTTATAAATGACATGCAACACATCAGCCTTTGAGGATCAGAGTGATTAAAACAAAATAGCTGTTTACTTTATTTCTCCTAAGTTCCAGAAGCTCAGTATTCTTCTACTATGTTTTAATTCCTTTAAGTCTTGGAAAACAACTTCCAAGGCGTTCAACCAGAAACACCCCATGTGTCATTTGTGGGGCAGCTGTGATCCATGAAGTCTTTGAGTGTAGTTTTTGAAATCACAGCTGTTCCCAACCCTACCAGGTGATCCTGCAAAGTCTATAGGGTTTTGTCCTAGTGCTTCAGACCTTGTCTGGTGTTGAAGCCAGCAGAGTAAGCTGAGATTTGAGGGCCTTAGTCCTTCTTGGTTCATCATAGTGAGATATGACTGTGGTGACTTCCTTGAGAGCATCAGTCACATCACAGGGATGGGGCGCAGTTGTTTCAGAGCCCCAGTGGGACATCTACCTATTGAGTAGACCTTTCGACTAAAACTGAGAGAATATTGTCTTTAAATGCTATGTCCAGACCTACACTGAAGGAATTCCTGGTTCAGGAGGCCTGTCATGGCTATCAGACTGCTTTTGCTGATGTTCAAAGTTTTGATTTTAGTGAAAAGGACAATAGGAATTTGGAAAGAGATTTTGCTAATTTTGCCATGTTTCACATGGATCTCTTGTCTGCTACAAAGATTTTCCCTGAGTGCTGAAGAGATTTAAAGTTTTAAAGATACTTCTGCTACTGTTTGGTTTAGGAAAAATCTCTGTATTTTAGAGAAGAATTAAATTTTAATTGCAGGTGATACAACACAATGTCAGGTACAAGGGGAAAGAAAAGTATAAGCCTTTTTCTGAAGAAAGCAGATTGACTTTTAATGTATGGAGGTCTCGGAAGTTTATTCTATTGCTCAGCCAGTTAAACAATTAATCGTGGAATTCCTATGACTTACTCTGTATGCAAGATACTAGAGTGTTTCCTAAGTAAGAAGTTTTCTGATACTGTTTTCATGCTAGCATGTTTTAGGACTCAGACTTTAAGGGAGATGCCATAGGAAAGTTAGGATGAGAATTTATGATTAACTTGGAAAGCCAAGTAAGCGACCTTACCCTTGTGGTGCTCATGTAGGGAGTTTGGATGTTAAAACTCATGGCTGGGCTTCGCGAACGAAGATTTGGGAAAGGTCTCTACCCACGTTTGTCCCAAGTGCGCTGGTGGCTAAAAAGGCCAATACGAGACAGGCATGTCTGGTTGCAAAAGGCACAGCAGAAAGACTCCTTAGGTGGTAAATTCTGCAAGGCACAATTCTTTCTGCATTGTATTTTCTCCTCGAGAGTGATCCTGTGTGCGTTCTCAAAGGCATCAGCAGCGTTATAGATGGTGTGTCTCCAGACCACCCGGTTGGAGGCCAGAGTAGACCAGTTACGTTGATCAATATGGCCAAGGCTGGGATGTTGTTTCAGAGAGTCCTTGTATCTTCTCTTTGGGGCTCCTCTCCTGGCCGGTGGCAAGTTCACCATAAAGCAAGATCTTAAGGAGGCGGTGATCCTTCATCCTTGAGACGTGCCCTGCCCAACGCAGCTGTGTTCTCAGCAACATGGCCTCAATACTTGTGACTGCTGCTTGTTCTAGAACAGATGTATTGATCACATAATCTGACCAGTGGATGTTTAGGATTGTACGAAGGCAGCATTGATGGAAGCGTTCTAGAAGTCGCAGGTGGTGGCGGTAGATGACCCATGATTCAGATCCATATAAGAGAGTAGACAGCACTATGGCTCTGTAAACACTGATCTTTGTACTTTTCTTCAAGTGTTTAACGTTTAAATGTTAAAACTATGGTATTATAAATTCACACCTTACTTACTCTATGATAATTCTCCCCTTTAAATGAACCCTTCATGTCAAGGATATGATGCTGTCTGCTCCATGTAATATACAGAATAAACATCTAATATCAGTATTTATGAGTTCTTGTCTTGATTTTTCTACTTGCTCAGTATGTCTTTTGGGAAACCACTTTTGGATCAATTTATATCTCATTTGCTGTAGCACATCTAGTACTAATACAGTGATTAGTATCTATGTATGATATGTAATTTCTGCATTAAGGATATATTAGAAGAAGCAAGTATATTGTGCAGTGCTTTGTGCTCCTGAGGTAGTACTTCATTATATTATCATGAGTTTAGAATTATATGTCTAATATATGATTTTTTTCTCGTTTTTCAGATGTTCAACTTGCCCATGGCTCTTTTCATTCCCCCTTCAGTGTTTGCTGTTCATTTACAGTTTAATCTACTTTACCAGTTTTGGATACACACAGAGGTAAACCAGGTTTTTAAGCCATACCTAAACAGTTAGCCTGGAGCAGTGTCCTGGAAATCCACTAGCAGCTGATTTATTGTGTAAGAAAAATCTTTGTCTGATTTCTTTAAGGAGAAACATCTGTTCATTTTTATTTCTTTTTCTGAATATATATTGCTAAGTTTATAAGAAACAATGAGGCCAGTTGGTCCCAATTAGATTTAAAAGTAACTGTGAGGAATCAAAACTTTTTGCTATTTTAATAGTATATTTTCCTATCTTGCAGCTTATTAAATATTTTTGGCAGATACTGAAACTGATTTCAATTTCTAAGATAAATATTTTAGGGAAAAATATCCAAATGCCAGTACTTCTTAGAGATCATTTAGAGCTGCAACTAAAGTCAGATATTGTTTCTTTCTTAGCACTAGTAATTCTCAGATGAAAAATGCTCTTTGATTATTTGATGGCTCTTTGTTTATGACTCCACCACCTTATTTGTGTTTTGTGAGTGTGTAGACCATATCTAGTTTATGCACATATACAGTTTATAACCCACTGTAATTAATAGGTAGTTCCCAGACTTCTCAGGTAGTTCAACAGCCTTTGCCTTCTTCCTTGCATTATAGTAGAGGTGTTTAAAGGTATTCCATGTTATAGGTCAGTAGCGTATTTCTCAGTAGCCCCGAGTGGGCTGTGGGCTAATTATTTTTACAACACTTAGTTCTTTGATTATTCTGCCCATATAGAGCCTTTTTCACTCTAGTTTCAGGATGTGATGTGTAGGACAGTTCTTTGGAAAAGACATTTTATTTTCTTTATCTGCTATTTTAGCTGATTGTGTTGTTTAAATTACAGTTTTTTCTTTTATACTTTCTGTCTGTTTCCTTAAAAAAAAGAATTAACCAAAAAATAAAAAAGATAGTTTTAGTGAACCAATAACAAACTTTGGTTGTTGATATTTCACTTCTGTTGGACACATTTCTAAAATCATTATCACGTCTGATGCTCTGCAATACCACTTGAATAGGGCAGGCTTATGATAAAATTTCACAATCACCAGAACTGGCATAAACTCAAGCAATACACAATTAAGCTTTTAAAATGTTTTCAACAAATTCAAGCACTTTTTGAAACTACTGGTATGAATCGCATGGTAGCAAAGTTTCTTTGCTCATGCTTTAGGTTTCACAAACTACTTCTAGCGTGTTTTGCCACTGAAAAAAATGTAATATATCTCATCTATGTCTTTGCTGTTTGAAGCCATCTCTTCCTTGGCTGAGACGTTTCTAACATTCTGCTGCATAACAGTAACTCAATGACTCTCAGCACTGGTGCCACAGTGGACGTCTAAAGTTTCTAAAGTGAATTTTGGATGCTTATGAATTGCCTACATCCCTCTAAAGCGCTATATCCTTCATAGGGCTTAAAAGGAATTTCCATAGCATATGTGCAATGTGCCAAGTTTAGACACTAGTCTAAACAAGAATGAATTTCAGTCTCAATGAAAAGATAAGCACTCCTTACTATTAAATTATTGTGCCAGTAGAAAAACAATGAATCTTTTGTACTGGTCCAGTTGATCCACTCATAGGACTTTGCCTAATGTTGATATTGTTGATTTTTTAGCACAGCTGAAATGAGTTGAAATATGTTGAAGTCATGCTGTAAGGTCAAATATGATGTCAAAATAGAAATAGGGTTACACCATGTATTAGCAGATTTCCTGCTCTCAAGAGCAAGGGATTGACAGAAAAGAGTAAGGAAAAGAAGGGAAATGGTAGCAGCCATGCAGGTTTATATTACCCAATATTTTTGGTGAAATTAATATGATGCTTCACCTTTATATTGGATTTTCTTTGCAAAAACTATTAAAATTTAACTGTTTATAGCTGTGTCATCTCTATCTTTTTTCTTGCAGTCCTTTGGTGAATTTTAATGGTTCTAATTATTTTACACAGATTCTGTTAATATGAAAATTCTGTCTGCAAGTCTCAGTTTCCATCTCTTTCCAAACATATGAGTTTTTTTGGGGTCTGCAGACCTGGGGTTCTATGGAAAACAGTATCCTGTCTCAGTAACTCTACTAGCTCTTGCTCTGAGAGCAGATATTCATCATCCCCCAGCACCTCTGGTGTCCTCTGGGAGCTCATGGTGGGTGCTGTTACAGCATGACGGTACATATCACTAGGGGCTGAGGGACATAGGCTTTGTTATGTCCATTCTCCGTACAAGATGTAATAGTTTGCTTCTAAAATGAAGGAGCAATTGGTAAGAAATGTTGAGTTTTTCCTCAGGTTTCTATTGCTTTTTCATCAGTATAGGTGTTTCCGTAGATATAATTTGGCCCACATTAACTAGTCAAATATGTTTGGAAATTGTCACTTTGTGTCACTTCTGATTGTACATCTTTCTTATTGAGGAAAATAAAAATCTATTAAGATACAGGGAAAAAAAAATCTCTTTTCTCTTTCTTTAATAGGCGATTTTTTTTTTTTACTTTGAACTGAAAAGTTTAAGAAAAGACATTCACAATCTAGTGTGTTATAGAAAAAAACCCCACATGATATTTAACTAATGGGAAAGATTGAAAGTATGTGACAGTTTCTAAGGGAAGGTGTTTTGTTTTGGGAGTCATTTACATTGAATTCAGTAAGTACAAAAGAATGATCATACTGTGCTGAAATTTTCTATGCCATGTTTCAGCCTAGAGCAAAAGTTTAAAGCCAAATACGGTCTCTGATATTTTTCTATCTTTCCTACTTAAATTTTACATGTGTCCAATGTTGTTTCAAGTAATGTTAAGAGATGTTTCCTGTGTTATAACTTTGACTTTTCTCAATATTTGGAGGTCTTTTCCAACCTTAATGATTCTATGATTCTGTAGTTATTGCACCATGTGCATGGCAATCTGAAATTATATCAGAATTTTTCCAAAGATCTTTTAAAAATCTCTGAGTAGCAACAAGGTATTGAAATAAACTCCTAATAGTTTATTTACATGAAAAATGAAAAAAAAAATCAACCCAAAAGCACCTGAGGAAAACATTTGGCAGTTCTAGGTTAATGATTCACTTGATCTTAAAGTTCTTTTCCAACCTAAATGCTTCTATAATTCTGTGATCTCAATAAATCAAGAAAAAACAATTTTTGGTTCTATCCAATACTGTTTAGGTCAGTGGAATAAGTCAGTAGATCTGCTCCTAAATAGTCCAGGAGAAACATTTCTATGACCAGAGAGACCATTCTCATCTAGATCACAAGGGCAATGAAAAAAAACACTTCAGTCAAAGAGCACTAAAAATCTAATTTTTCAAAAGCCACAAAATGTTTAAGGACTGTTACTGACAGGCAGAAATACTGCATTTCAGTTTATTTTCACAGGTGATTCGGAAGGTCTATGGCTTATATTAAACTATATCCTTCCATTATGCATTTATTACAACCAATAAGTTAGGTGTGTTTATAAGCTGATAGACACCTGTGAAAAACAGAAATTAGTTTCTGTTGGTTTAGCTGTAATTTTTATGAGATGTCAAATTGTATTTGGAAAGTATCAACTGATCCAATCCCTGATGGTAGTAATTGCAGCAGCAGATTATTCCTTGCCTGTTTGATCTTTGACATGTATTACTTTCTGTTTAATTTTCTAATTTAAGGAAAGACTGTAATCTGCCCTTTACATACTCATGGAAGTCAGGTTTTTTAAGGCATCTCTTTTTGCCTTGTTTAAGTCTTTCTACCCCATCAAACTCTGGGAGCAGAAAAAGGTGAGCCACAACTATTAACCAGGAGTAACGTGGGTGAAAACAGGTGAGGAATGGGAATAATTTTGGCAACACCTCGTGCAGACTGAAAAGAGAGACATGATATTGCTACAGATATAGGGAAAAGTACATTTGTTTTTGTCAGAAAACACCAATTCAGTGAAACTGAAACTTGCTGAGGAAATGTATTGTATTTGTAAAAAAAATATTTTGCACTTATATGCAGTCTGTACTGGTTTTTTTTCTGTGTCTTTCTTTATCTTTGACTTCTGCTCAGTTTTCTTTAATAAAAAGCTTTGACAGAAAGAAGTCATGAAGTCATCACACTTGCATGCCCCACATAGCCCATCAAGGCTCCCTGAGTACAGGTGAGCTGTTGTGGCCCAGTCCTAAAGTCCTTATATCAATCAGCTCATTCCTAAGAAAATGATCAGATTCAGGAAAGATCTTCTATGTTTTGTGTTGATTTTCTGTCAGATAAGGAAATTAAACAAACAGATTTAAGAACCAAGTAAAACTAAGGAAAATACATAAAAATGTACATACTACTTTTAAGCAGCAGTACACCTGTGATTACTGTATCAATAGCAAAAGCTATTCTTAAAACTCTAGAGAATGAAAAGTCTATTGAATGGTGATCAAAAGAATCATAAGATTTTTAGGACAATGTGAAAAATAAGTGACGGCATGAGACAATAGATAAAATATTCAGTTATTAATTTCCAGGTCCTAACAACTGAGATTGGTATATTTCTTGGCAAATTTTATTTCTCGGCAAATTTTATTTCTCCATTTTCTTGGACCTATTTATTCCATATTGTGTGCTGTAGTCTCATTTAAATGAAGAAGAAGGGAATACTGGAGTAAAAAACATATTACAGGGTCTATATAAAGTACTTGCATTAGTTTTGTAATTTAGAAGCATGTTAGTAATCCATTTCATAAAACTGAAAGGTAAATTTGATCAAGAAATGAGACTTTGAATTTAAAAAGCATTTTAACAAAACTTATTTGACTATTACACTTTTGAGTGTTTGCACTGGGATCAAGTTAGTTTTTTTCTTGTGGTTGATTTGTGGAGTTGAAGTAAGGTTTTTAGTACAGAGCTAAAATATTCAATAGTTTTCAAATAAAAACAGAGATACTTTGTTAGTAGGTTAAAAATCTCTAGGCCTTGTTTGCAAAGGCATATATTTCTTCTTATTTTAAAATATTGTGAATAGTTTCTATAAGGTCATAAGATATGAGTTAAAT